GAACATGGGATTTATCGTGCGGGCAATACCAACGCCTATACCGAGAATCCCTCTGGCAAAGTATAGCGTTTGCACAGAAGATGCGAAGTACATGTGGAGCCAGCCTAAGGTGAACACTGTGCTGCATGCAATAAGGCAGTATTTACGACCGATGCGATCGGCCAACTGCGCAGCCAGAAGTGAACCGATCATTGAACTAAGTACTGTCAAAGAAACGCTCCATGAATATTCGTCGTGTGTTAACCTTAGCGGCACGTCGCCGATTCCAGTTGTTAGAGGGAGAAATGAAGAGTTTGTCCATCCGTAGACTGTACCGACCAAGCACATGGTTATCGTTCCTGGAATGAGAAACAGTTAATGCTATATATAGCATATGTTAATTGTAGTGCGATTGTTTTATAATTACACTGCTAATATTTACGCAAATTTGTATTTTTAATATGTACTACTAATTGTTAGGTAGATGATACATTATACTGTACATGTCAATGTGTGTAAGCGACAGAGGAAGTTCAGGTGTCACTTAAGACAAAAGACAATTGGTAACTGTTAGAAGAATCTAGAATAGTATGTTGACAACAAGCGTGCGTGTAAGAAGATAATCGAGGTCTTCAGAGTGTAATATATATGTATAGCTGTTGTGTGTGAATAAAGTAAATTATTTATTTTCCCGAATTCTCTCTATACCTTAACACTAATATATTTGTAATTAATACATACCGCAGGCTATAGGTAAATGGATTCTTCGCGATGTTAACACGAATGCATTCCACTAGTATTATTTCTTAGCTATTTTATTATTAATCTGTTCATCAATTCGCATTATATGTGCATTAAGTAAAATACTACGTGAAGTAAAATTTGTTAGAGACTTGCGTTAGGTCTGGGTATATTAATGTGTAATAATAAACATTTTTTTGCTTTAAGATTTCTCATAAATATATAAAAGTCCGCACTTGGTTTATGATATAAGAAAGCATCAGTGCGATGAATATCTGAATCGAAATGTTAAATTTATCATAATGTAGGATGGAATAGAAATGCAACTTTAAACGATGGTACGCAAGTCAATATCAGTAAGAAATAATTTAGGAACATCACTATGAAACATCAATTCGAGGGTGGAAAGGAAATTGCATTCTGCGTATTAAAATTACAGATAAGTACTTGACGTGTTTTCAAGAGTGAAAACTAACCGGAAATACATGCCAGCAATCGCCGGCGTTGTGCGCCGCAGAAACTAGAACATTCCCATGGAAGAAATAAACCGTCAAGATCTAAATCTCCGCCCTCAGGCGAGTGCCCAAGAGGGATCGTGGGAATCTGGAAAACAGATACCTTTGTTAAGAACAGAAATCATAATTCTATTCTAATTAGATAGTGTAATCAAACTTTTGAGCGAATACCAAACCACGGAAAAGATATCAAGAAGTATTTAAATATTAACCTTATTTCAACATTTATTCTTTCTCCTATCTTAATCGAAATACAATTTACGATATTTCTGTCAACAGCATTGAAATATTCTTGATGTTCTTTGATGTTATTAAAGATAAAAGACGTACTTGAGTTTCTCACTGACGTTTGCTAATGGTTATTTGTACTTTTGAAAACTTTCTTCTACAATCTTTTCCTTTGAGTATCCCCCAAATCAATGATAATTTCAGAGGTTTTTATATGTTTCTTAAATATCTTTTCTAAATAATGAAATATATTAATACGTCGTATAGATAATACCGAAAACCCGTTTGAACCATCGAGTATGATTCGATATTTATAAGACGTAACAGTTTTAAGCTCTGAACTTTATGTTTTGGTTTGTCGTGACTGTTTGATTCAGGCTGAAAGATTCAAAATTTTAAATGATCACGATCCATCAAGACGTAAGGTCGAAGATTTAAGATTATTTTGACTTTTAAATATCGAATCATACTCGAAGGTTCGGACGATTCTTTGGTATTCTCGACATGATATGTTAATACATTTCATTATGTGCCAAAACTTTTAATCGAGTCGAAGGAATCAAAACTTTAATTCCTATGGATTCGTCTCTGTTATTTGGAAATAAAAGAATAATAGTAAAATTCGCTGAAAATAGGTATCTCAAACGAACGCTTTTTTTATATTCTCATTCAATTAGAATTTGTTACTCTGCGTTATTTAATTTCTAATGGTTTATTTTAAAAATATATATTGTATAATCATATTAACTGCTTACCGTCCTACGCATGTTGCCAAAAATAAGTACTTTTACGCAATTATATAATCACGACAGATTTTCAATAATTCAGTTTGTAGAATCCAGTTCACTCATAATTATTTAAGAAATGCACGAATGATCATGGGTAGTTATCTATTGCTAAAAAAGAACAACTGTAAGAAATCTTTACACTGAATCTCGCGATTTACGGACTTCGTATCGATTTGTTCGATTTGCACGAGTGTCACAACCATACTAGGTACTTCTGGGGCTACTTCCTGTTTACATACAGTCGACATTATTTCAACACCTAAACACTTCTAATTCTCCTTGTTATATGTTTAAATGTAACGAATTAATTTTAAATATTCCGACATAGGAACAATAATGTTTTTGTACTTATTATATCTAGGAAGTATCCTAATTATAATGTTAGAACAGTCGGATGCCAACTATTATATGATACATATTTCCTATAATATAAAAATTAAAATCAGCAAAAATAATTGCACAGCTTCGACTATTATATATTTTTGTTTCATTTGCTACATCGGCTACGTTGCGATCATAATGCAGCATTTGAATTTATAATATTATAATATGATAATATTATAGTATTTGGGTTTATAAGGAAACCTTTAGATTTGTTATTGTTAGGTTTAAGGGAATCTTTATATTCTTGATCGGTAAGATTTATAAAGCCACTCTGTGCCTTTATTATTTTCGGATATGTATGTATTATGCAGGGCTTAGGAAAAGACCTTTAGGTTTCTGATTAAAGTATTGAAATTAAATTAGATGTTCTATCAGGTAGAGTTTTTCAAATTTGATGGGACAGGATCTAGATGGAACGTTTGTGAGTCAGGTGCGTGGCTATATAGAGTATCTTTACTGCAAAAAGCAATGCTTCCTAGATGCGTTAATCCGTTCCTAATAAGTACCTTAATGTTTAATTAATTTATACATGCATTTAATTATACATGCATAATGAACAGTAATGTTTAAGTAGATAAGGTAGTGTAAGTAGATAAATAGTATAATTCTTTATGAAACGCATCATTCTCTTTTTTAAAACAATTTTACCACAGACGAGGAACAGGAATAGACATGATATTCAGTGCTTGTTCACATTTTGCGGGTCGCATGATCTCTCCATACCATTTTCGTGTCGCATGCGAAGTTACTATTTCAGTTTAATACTGGTTTGAATTAAAACTATAATCTTATACGAAA